CAAAGTCAAATAATATGTGTCAAAGCCTTTCAAAATTATATTGTCCATGTAATTTTGAGGCATGAGTGCTACCTAGACGCCAACATAGATCTCCCCTGAGGGTCATGAAACAAATAAAATATCCTTAATTATAAATTTATCCTGTCCTGGAGTTAGCAGATTAGTTGGGAAAAATGTTAAAAATGTTACTACAAAACTTTTAAAATTGCTCGAAATTGACTGTAGAGATTCCATTTGGATTTGAAAGTTTCAAAATTAAGTTTGGAATATAAAAAATGATCCTGAGGACCTAAAAAATGTCTAAATTGGCCTATTCAGGTTGACAATAGAATGCTTCTTTCAAATGGCTCGATTCACTTGTGACACATAGGGTCGCATCGAAATCATATCTAAATGGCTAAATATTTATATCTGAGATCTTTCAAAAAGTTGGGTCAGTGGATTCATCTTTGTAAAAAATGACTGGAATATACAAATAGGAAAAGTTGAAGGATTTATGTGCTCCCATTCATATTGGAGTAGAAGATATATTGAGAATGCTCAACATTCATGATGTTGACAATCTTCTCTATTAGGCACATTATTTAGAAAACTATATATAGGAAGAACATCTGTTTAAGGATGATTGTTTATTTAGGTGGAGAGGTCTCATGAGATCATGCTAAAGAAATCAACAAAGTTCAAAAAATATGTCTAGACTACAAATGTTCCTCCTAAATGATTAGTAAATGATGAAGATCCACAGGTCTTGTCCAAAAAAAAAAAAGAAGCTAGAGAAAACTTTATCAAGTGCTGGTAAAGGTCACAGTGATTCTTCTCCTTTCAAGTTAAATATTCTTGAAGATGTGTTGAATCACTAATGTATTGGATGTCAATGAGTAGAAGACTTAGTGAGTATCCACTTCTTTTTTGTCCTTTTTGTATATCCATAAGGATACATTTCTTACAGATATCATGTTATTATTTTAGTTGTTGTGGCGCATAGATCATGAAGTTGAGCTAACTCGGGTCTTGAATGATTGGAATAATGAATTTGTGAATATCAAATGTTTTCAATGAGAGTATAAGCAAAAATATGACAGTAAGACTAATGATATGAAGATAATGGAAGAATAGTTAGCAGAATGCAGAGCTGAATTGGCTATTATAGAAACTTCTATTTTTTTTCAAAATCAATAGATGGATCAAATTCACATTTAATTGAAAGATGCATAAAAAATGATCAATCAGCATAGGAAGGACTATCAAATCCATGAAGTGAAGTTAATGGCACATAAAGATGAAAATAAGAGATTTCAGAGTCTTTTAACTAGAAAGAAATTGCTTTGTCAAAGGCCAAGTCTATATCAGAATTGTTATCTTCAATAGTCATAGAAGATTTTAAGAAGTTTGTAGCCTTCAAGGGTATAATTCACGATCATATTTAGTAAGATTGTGATCATATATATGTCGTAGAAGTGAAGGCCTTAGAGAAATAATGCATTGAAGAAGGCTTTATTTGAGGCTTTCTAAAAGGAGTTCACATGGTACAATATAAAACTAGAGTTGATGTTGAAGTTGAAGGGTTGTGACCTAGCCAGGCATTTGATGATATATTCCCTTTCAGTTCAGGCGATGATAATATTAATAGTGAGCTGAAGAAAGTCTTTACCTGCGAGGATGAAGATGTTGAGATTATCTAATATTTCTTTATCATTGATTGTATCACTTTATCTTTCTTAGTGATTATTATATTTATCATAGGTTTATGTTCTTATATAGTGTTTTTGATCCTTTTGTGACATAATAAAGAGTTATTAATGTCCTTTTTAGATATGAAACTTATTTGATTACTTTTATCTTATCTCAAGTTGGATGGTGAAAAATATTTCAGTTAACTCACTCAACTCAAGAAAATTTGATAGATATCTTCTTAGAATGTTGACCTATCTTATGTTGTTAGTCAAAGCATTTCTTGATGGCATTTAACCTGTATAAAAGAGGTTAGATCAAATCTCACAAGGATTGATTATTTAGTGATTGAGATGAAATGAAGATTGTGTGTTTCTTGTATCAAAGATGAAAGATTAGATTTTGTTGTTTGTTTGAGATTATCATCTTTTTTGAAGAAGAAGACAATACTAGTAATGAGTGAACAATATATCGATATATTACATAATATAATATAATGGTTCATTGATACAATTTAGGGATTTTAAGGTTACATAACACTCAACATAAAAGAGATACATATATATGAGGGAACTACATGGAACTTAACTTAGAAAGTATATAAGACATAAGATAAGTAGTACTATCATCACCTACTGATAATATTTATAGATATTTCCATTGTTCCAAGTTTGAGGTAACATATTTTCTTTGTCATCCTTTAACTTGAATGCTTAGGGCTTAATCATGACTGCCACCAAATAAGGACCTTCCCAAAGAGAGGAGAAAGTTTATTGAGTCGGGGAACCTTTCTCACAAGCATAACTAAGTCTCCAATCAAGATACATAAAGGTTTCACCCTCAGATGATAGTGATGGGCTATTCTTTGGTGGTATGTAATAACTTTGAATGAGGTCACGTCTCTTACTTCTAGAAGGAGAACAAAAATAATTCTTAGCTTCTTCTCATTATTATTAAAGTTAAAAGTTTAAACTCTATGGCTTGGAACTTTAATATCGACTGGTATAACAATTTTTGTACCAAAACAAAGGTTATATATGGTTTCCCCTGTTGAAGTTCTAGCAGTGGTATGATAAGCTTAAAGGACATTTTGGAGTTCCTTAGCTCATTGCCTTCCAGTCTTCCCTTGGTGTATTTTTCAATCCTTTTAGTATTATTCAATTTGTAAACTAAGTCTATTCGTTTGCCTCAATATGGGATATAGCTGTGTGCACCATTTGGATATGAAATTCCCTATAAAATACTGTAAAGATTTTTAAGTGAATTGAGTTATATTATTGGTGATAATCTTTCCAAGAATGGAAAATTATTATATTATAATCTTTTAAAAATTATTTAGTATTGGCTTTTCTGATCTATGTCATAGGTTATACCTCCACCCATTTGGTAAAATAGTCTATAGCTAAGATGATAAATTTTTGTTTTCCAATAGCTATACTGAAATGTCTCATTATATTGATTCCTCAATGGGAAAAATGTCCTAGGCTTTGGAGCTATGAAAGTTCTATGGAAGAAGAATGAGAGAGATTAGAATACAATTGATAATTTTCGCACTTTTATGTGAATTTGAGTGCATCATATTTAATTATGGGCCAATAAAACCCCCATCATATGATTTTATAAGCTAACTCTCTTCCCTTTAAGTGCTTTTTACATATTTTTAATAAACTTCTTAAAGCACATAATAAGCTTTTAAAGGTGGGAGGCACTTTATGTATGATCCAGTGAAGATCGTTTGTATAACACTCAACCAATAATAGTAAAGTTTGTTGCCTACCTTTAAAGTCATGTTTGCAATTATTAGATCTTCAGGCAACACGCCATCTTGTAAGGACAAGAAGTGAGTGATCAAAGAAGCCTCTCTTGGCTTATCAATTGATTTTAT